CAGCACAGGAATGATGGCAACACCTTTACTGCACCATAAACCCACACAGAGAGTGCCCGAGGTGGCTGAGCGGGGCTGGGATGTAGCACTGATGGCTAGAGAGGTGCTGTGCAGCTCAGCACCACATCAGAGCCTGGGTGCACCGAGCGCTGGGTGAGGCACCTGCAAGGGGAGTCTGGTGACAGCAGAGGGGTGGTGTCTCCTCGGTGGGGGTGCTGAGGACCACCTCGGTGTCCAGTGTGCACCTGAGGGACAGGAGAGTTAGTGGGGACAAAGCAGAGAGTGGGAATAAAGCACCATCAGTGTGAGGAGGAGGAGGAGAAGCTCCTGTGTGACCCAGGCAGGAGGGGGGGATGGACTGGGGCTTGGAAACGTCCTGTCCCTGGTGGTGATGGACTGGGGCTTGTAAACGTCCTGTCCCTGGTGAAGGGAAGCCTGCCTCCTATTAGCTGTGCTGCCTTCCTAGTATTCCCAGTGTCCAGGTCTGGTTTTCAGTGGGGATGGCCCAGGTTCTTTTCCAGGACACAGGACAAAGGAAGCAGCTGCGGGAGCAGGGACAAAACCACTTTAAAAGCAGACGATGGTTGTGCCCAGCCCGACCTCCACTCCCCAGCACCACTTTGCCTTCCAGTGCACCCATCGTAGTCTGCCCCAGGCACTGACCCCTCTGCCTGCAAAGGAAACCAGTGCCAAGCCCAAGCCCCGCTCTGTGTACTGGTCTTGCAACCAAAGGGCCTTGCAAACACACATGGAACCAAGCCCTTCGCAAGGCAGACTGTGAGCTCGCTGCTTCCCAGAGAGACAGAGCCAGGCCTAACCCCAGGGCTCTGAGACGGAGCAGGCATGAAGTGAGCTCCCTCACTGTCAATCCCAACAGGCAAACAGCAGCAGAGAGGCGTTGGGAGCAGCAGGTACATCTGCTTTCTCGCAGAGACAGGCCATGTGCAGGGAGCTGGGCTGGCTCCGGGCTCTGCTCATCCATCTCCGTCCCATCCAGGAAAAACTGTGCATCCAGAAGGCCTCAGCGCAGGGCTGGAGGCTGCTGCTGAAATCCACCCCTTGGAGCAAGAGGATTCCAACGAGGAGAAGCTGAAACACAGCTGGGGATGGGTACGCAGGGAGCCGGGGAGGGCAGCGAGGGCCCCGGGCTGCTGCACATCCACATGCTTCCAGGCCAAGCGCAGCTTCCGGCTGATTTTCCTCTTTAGAACAGCAAAACTCCAGTGTCTGGACCCGAAGGGTTAATTCGAACTGGTGAAGCCGTGTGAGAAGTTGCCGGGAGGTCAGTGGGAAAGGGCCGAGGGCTGCAGAGGGCGCTGGCACCGGCTCCGGCTGTCAGGGCGGGTAAGCACCAAATGCCTGACTTGTGATGTTACAGAAACTTTCCACTTGGGCCTTCCTGCTATTTTTAACCTATTTTTAACTCTTGTCCCAGCCACCCTCAGTCGTCCCGTCCATCGTGTCGTCGCCCCCTCCCCCCCATCTGTCCAGGATAAGTATTTCCATTTTTTATATCTTTTTTGGTTTAAATCACAACACCCCCCCCCCAAGTTGTGCTGCTCCCTTGCCTCCCTCTGCCGCCT